ACCACTGAGCCACATAGGCTGGGCTGTAAAGACATTTTAAATGTCAATTAAGCTCAACATGGATAGCAACATCAATGGACTTACTCCCACTGAAATGTGCAACAGTTTAATCATGACAGATTTTGCAGAAAAAAAACACATGTCACAAAACGGAGTAAAGATGGGCCATCACATATAATGGCTGGATTATAGTTGGGGATGTATGTGCCAGACAACTATTGTCTTAATCATCAGACATTTAGATTTCAACAGGCTTCTACTGATCTCTACTTACTGTGTACGTGTAGCTGTGTAATTTAGCAAGTGGTGCCATGGGGAGTGAGGACAGGCCTGGGCTGTTGGAGAGGGCAGAGAGGCCAGGCCTTGAGGAGAAGGTGCATTCTTGCACACCACAGCAAAGAGAGGGGGCCGATTTTGTACCCACCATCCAGTTTTACTTTGTCTGAGCGCCTCTGGGAGACATTTAGATCACTCTTTACTAAAGCAAGGACCTCCAGCTGAAGGCTGGGAGAGGCTAGAATGGGCCTTTAAGGGGTTGGTGGGCATGACTTCAAGAGCCCTGGGCCCTAGGGAGGAGAGAAGGGAGCTGGTGTTTATTTAGTGCTGACGATATACCAGGCATACCCATGCCTTTTACAAAGATATACATACTGTCTTCTAAATAAAAGTGATGATGATTATGATGATAATGGTGCTGGGGTGGGGGAGGGGGTGATGATGACATCAGTGTAACATATGAACATATGTTGAGCCCTTATTGTGCACCATGCAATGTTCATGGCTCTTTACATGCAATAACACCCCATATTCTTATAACAACCCTACAAGTACAATGCCATTGCTATCCACACATTGCATACAAATCATGTAAATGAAGAAAGTGAGAGTTAGAGTGGGAGTATATGCTCAAGTTCACAGGCAGAAACTGGAAGACAGGTCAAGCCCTGACTCCTGTAACCCTGATAAAATGATAGAATGAGAAATCTGTGGCTTTTCTCCAACCAGGAGCTCTCAGGAAACTGGTGAGTGAAGTTTTCCCCTATTTGGAGATTGTATAAGTGTACTCCCTGTTCACCAGTTGATAGTATAAGGTCATAGATGAGAGTACAGACACTGGGGTCAGGTGCCAGCCTTGTAACCATGAGCAAATCATTTCCTCTGTCTGAGCCTCAGTCTCCTCATCTCCAAAGTAGGAATAAATAACAGCAACTGCCTCAAAGAGCTTTGTAAGGATTAAATGAGATCATACATATCTAGTGCTCAGAAGAGAGCCATCTGATAGGCTTTCAATCAATAGTTGTCATTGCTATTATTTTAGCCCCTCTTAGTTAAGGCATTATGAGGCAGGGAGCCTCATGAGCAGTTGGGAGGTGAGCCATCTGAAATTGCCATCAGAGTCCATCACTGTCTCCAAGATCAACCTTTGACCTTGAGTATAATGACCAGTGTCTGACAGTCCCAAATATCACCAGTGGATATTTGTGGCTGAAGGTGCCTGTGTGCTCTTCAGAGTTCAGCCAATGCCTGTTGACAAGAGTGAGAACATACTCACAGCCTTTGACCCCCACATGTAAGCCGGATCTCTATTTTGCAGCTAGTCATAGAGGGCCAGAGTCAGCCTGGGCCGGAGCAGCCGGCGGAACGTAAAACCAGCTCCCAGTTGGTACACGTGGCAGCAGCGATTATAGCCAAGGAGAAACTAAATTCTAGAGGCCTGTGCTGTCTCCAGGGAGCACACTAATTGAGAAATAACATCCATAAAATAATCCAATACTAGTATGTAAAACTAAGAACAATAACCAAGTGTGACTGGCTTTCTAGAATTAAGCAAAGTAAGATGAAGTGTCTTTTGCCAGCTGGCATTCTCAGCATAGGAAAGTAATTCTTATTTTTCCCACCTTGGAGGGGCAAGTGCCACCTTTGGCTGCAGGAATTCTCACCTCTCAGCAGCAGCTTTCAGCACCTTGCTCTGGATGTTTCTTTGGGCACCAGCTTCTAGGAAAGAGGCTCAGTTAAGACTGCTTTTAGGGGCATGAGGAGATCTTGCTCTGGAGCATACAGCCCTGCAGCCAGTGGTGTGCTGGTAAATGCATAACATCTGGCTCTCTGGAAAAAATTAAGTGTGCATGTATGCATACACACATACACAAAGTTATTATAAAAAACTATTATCAATAGTTTTAGATTGTCAATAGTTTTAGATTATATAATAACTTTTAAGTTATTATATAATGGATAAGTAGCACAAAATTTATAAATAATAATATGCATAATTCTCTTGCTTATAAACAATCACCACTGTTTAATTCTGAAACATTTTTTTATTCCTTCCAACAGAAACCCCATGTCATTTAAACAGTCATTCCCATTTCCCTTCTTCCAGTTCCTGGTCACCACTAACCTACTTTCTGTCTCTATGGATTTGCCTATTTCGAACAGAGTATTTCATATAATGGGGCCATATAATATGTGGCATTTTATATTTGGTTTATTTCACTGTATAATGTTTATAAGTTTCATCCCTGTTGTAGCATCAGTCAGTACTTCATTTATTTTTATGGCTGAATAATATTCCATTGTGTGGTTCCAATTTCTCCACATCCTTGCCAAACCTTGTATTTTCTGGGTTGTTGTTGTTGTTGTTGTTGTTGTTGTTTGTGGGTTGTTTTTATTATAGCCATCCTGGTAGATGTGAAGTGGTATCTCATTATGATTTTTTTTTATATATGTATTTTTATTGATTTTTTACAGAGAGGAAGGGAGAGAGATAGAGAGTTAGAAACATCGATGAGAGAGTAACATCGATCAGCTGCCTCCTGCACATCTTCTACTGGGGGTGTGCCCGCAACCCAGGTACATGCCCTTGACCGGAATCGAACCTGGGACCCTTCAGTCCGCAGGCTGACGCTCTATCCACTGAGCCAAACCGGTTTCGGCTCATTATGATTTTTAAAAAATCTTTATTGTTGAAAGTAATAAACCTGTCCCCTTCTTTCCCCCATTGACCCCTTATAGCTCGCCTCCGCCCACCCCCCTCCAGGCCTTCACCACCCTATTGTATGTGCCCATGGGTTATGCATATATGTATCCAAGTTCTTTGGTTGATTTCTTCTCACCCACCCACCCCTGCCTTCCCTCTGAGATTCAACAGTCTGTTCCACACTTCTACGTCTCTGGATCTATTTTGTTCATCAGTTTATTTTGTTCATTAGATTCCACATATGAGTGAGATCATGTGATACTTGTCTCTCTCTGACTGGCTTACTTTGCTTAGCATAATACTCTCCAGGTCCCTCCATGCTGTCTCAAAGGGTAACAGATCCTTCTTTTTACTGCTGCATAGTATTCCATGGTGTAAAAGTACCACAGCTTTTTCATCCACTTATCTACTTATGGGCACTTGGGCTGTTTCCAGATCTTAGCTATTGTAATTTGCACTGCTATGAATATAGGGGTGCCTACATTCTTTCTGATTGGTGTTTTGGGATTCTTAGGATATATTCCTACAAGTGGAATGAGGAAACTCTGTATTGTTTTCCATAATGGCTGCACCAGTCTGCATTCCCACCAGCAGTGTACTAGAGTTTCCTTTCTTAACATTCTAGCCAGCCCATTGTGATTTTGATTAGCATTTCCCTAATGACTAATGATATTCAGCATCTTTTGATGTGCTTATTGGCCATTTGCATATCACCTTTGGAGAAATGTCTATTCAGTCCTTTGTCCATTTTTATTTATTTTTTTCTTAATTTGTTTTTAAAAATAAGGAAGAGAGAGAGAGAGAGAGAGAGAGAGATATTTATTGTTCCACCCATTTATGTGTTCATTTATGTGTTCATTGGTTGATTCTTATATGTGCCCTGAAGGGGGGGATCAAACCTGCATCCATCCTTGGCATATAGGGGTGACGCTCTAACCAACTGAACTACCTAGCCAGAGACCTTTGTCCATTTTTTAATTGGATTGTTTGCTTTTTGTTGAGTTTAATATTTTGGATACTAGAATTATCAAATATATAATTTGCAAATATTTCCCCCACTTTGTGGGTTATGTTTATTTTTTCTTGATACTATCCGTTGATGGACAATAGTTTTTTATGAAATCCAATTTATCTATTTTAAATTGTTTATTTTGGTGCCATATCTAAAAATCAAAGCAAATCAGATGGTCATGTTTAGAGATGTTGAATTATGTCCCATCTACAGGCTTGGTCATTACAAATTTACATTGCAGAGGACATGGCTAAGGATGTAGTGAGGAATTGAGATCATTAACACAATTTTATCGCACAATGACTGGCTTAGATTGACTCTGATTCATCCTTTCAGGTTTTTGCCACCCATACGGAATCACGGTTCTGTTGTGAAAGAAGCAGGAAGGATAGTTTTGGGGCAGGCAATGAACAGAGCTTCCAACACAAGTCTATGGGGGTATCTCTCCTAAGATCAAGGTTGGCCAAAGCAATGCGGGTTGACTGAAGATGTGTTTGGTATGTCTTCCAGAGGAGTAGAGCGTGGTCAGGGAAGGAGAAGCCCAGGAAGGCTAAATAACTCACCCGGATACTTAACCAGGAATTATAATTGTCCACAGCTCTGATTTCTGCCCTAATGCCGGGGGTCTTTCCAGCATCTAGAAGGGGTTCAGGAATCTGGAGAAGGCGCTGTGTATAAATTATTAAAGAGTCTAGAGACGAAACGTAATTTTGGAAGGCATTTTGGGGAGCCAGAGAAGACTTAGCTAAAGGAACCAAGTTCTCTGTCTCTCTGGACCCCTTGCTTTTTATTAACACAATTTGTCCTAAGGCAAAGTAAATATACATATCCAAGGCAAGGTTTAGTATACAGAATCCATTGTCAGATTGGGGGAACTGCCTATGGCTGTTCAGGTGTCTGGCCCGTAGGAGGCAATAACATGTAGATTGAAATGCCCTCAGCTGTCTGGCAGCAAGCAATCATTTATGCATCCTTTTCAGGTTTGGGGAAAGGCCCCCAGCCATTCCAGATGATTCAGCCCTGCTGACATGCTGGAATTAGCTTCCGGCATTGCCCACCCTGGACAGCTGAGGTTTAGTAGTATACATCCCAAACTGTGGGAGCGCCGTTCAGCTGACCGACCCATCCCGGCGGCTCACTAGCTCAGCAGTAGCCACTCCCTCCCTCAGTAGTCCTGCAGGTCCAATCTCTGGAGAACGGGCCAGGCACCAACGGACAGGCGCTACCAGCACAATTCTGACAGTACCTCCTGGAAGTCAGCCTTGGGCACTGTGGTTGCCTCCCCTCCCTAGAGGCTCCGCAAAGAAGACATGATATAAAAGTGGCCTCCAGGTGGCTCCCGACAACTGGTGTGTGAATGTCAGTGGAATGGATCTGGATCCCGGGCTGGCAAGGGCATCCCACCACCTGCCCAAGGGCTGATCATGTCCCGCCCTCCCCCACCCCTCACTCCCCTTGGGACGGGCGCCAGATGCAGGGCTCACAGCTGGAGAGCACCGCTGTGGCAGCATGAGCCTCTCCCTATAGGGACTGACTGGGTGTGAGCCTGTGGCAGGTGCAGTGGGGCCAGGATGAGTGGGAGTGGCAGGCGGTGTTGGAGGGCTGGTTTCGGCCCGATCCCCACAGGCCATGCCAAGGGACCTCACAGGTGCACAAATCTGTGCACTGGGCCTCTAGTAAGACCTATGAGATACAGAATTCCCTTCCTGCTTCTAGTTCAAATGTATGCTTCCTTTTATTACTCAAAGTTGGTCAAGCTACCACACAGACTGTTGAACTGCTCTTGGCTCAGGAATACAAATTGAATATTGACTTCTCTCATTTTTTATTCAATTTTGCCTTCCAGAATACCAGATATGACTTCATTTTAAAAATGAAATTTTGCAGGTCATTAGTCCATAATGATTAAATGATTCTGGTTATTATTATAAATCCAACTGTAGTAGATGAGAGGTAACCTTTATTATTTAAATACTAGAGGCCGAGTGCATGAACTCATGCATGGGTGGGGTCCCTCGGCCTGGCTGGCAATCGGGGCTCAATTGGAGGCCAGCTGGCCAGGGGGAGGGACCGTGGGAGGTTGGCCAGCCATGGGATGTTGGCTGGCCATGGGAGGTTGGCTGTGGGAGCACACTGACCAACAGGGGGCAGCTCTTATGTTGAGCATCTGCCCCCTGGTGGTCAGTGTGTGTCATAGTGACCGGCCAAGCGGTCGTAATGGTCACTTAGGCTTTTATATATATAGATTATGCAGTGCATTCACATACTGCACAGCAAAATTATATTTTTTCAGACTATTCAGCCATTATGGAAATGACTTACAGTTTCCTTCAGAAATTTTACAAATGGAGTTCATTGTTTCGGTGGGGCAAACATTTCCTAGAATACAGATGTCCCTCGTATTTGTAGGGGATTGGTTACAGGGTCCCCCACAGACACTAAAATCCATGGACGCACGAGTCCCTTATATAAAATGTCATAGTATTTGCATATAACCTATATTTACATATAGACTTCATTTGCTTGGATTCAGCATAGGGCTCAGTTCAAGTTTTGCTTTTCGGAACACTCTAGAATTTTTTTTCTGAATGTTTTTGTTCCTTGGTTGGCTGACTTCATGAATGTGCAACCCACCAATATGGAGTACTGACTGGAGTTCCTAAGAACAGTCCAGGTCAGGAGCAGTGAAATGTTTTCTGGGGAAGAGGGTCTAAGGCAGACAGGGCTTAGAAAGGCTCATCCCATATGGTGACATTCTTAAAAGCCCAGGCTTTTGTGTTACAGTGACCTGGATTCCAATCTCCCTCTCTGTGTCCCTGTAGGCAAAATACTTAAAGTTTTTGAATATCAATTTCCCATTTGAAAAAATGGGTAACTAATATTTGCCTTTTAGGGTTGTTGTGAGATTTAGTGAGGTAAGGTATTCATGTAGTCAGCTCACCGAAGTGAGCCCTCAGTAACTTATAGATGCTGCTGTCATTATGGCTACTGTTGTCATTATCATTATTTTTACTGTTAGTATTAGCACTAATGTGCTGGTGCTCTGGCCAGGGAAGATCAGAACCCTGTCTTCAGGTAGGGACCCCAGGTAGGACCTACATAGCAGAAGGTATAGTAACAGGACACAGAACTGTCAGCTGTGGCTTCTGGAACCTGTCTGGCCTAGGCTGGGTTGGTGACAAAGAAATGACTTTCTTTGTGTGTATCCTCTCTGTGCCTGGTATACCGCAGATATCTGTGGTTGATCAGTTGATGTCATCATCCTCGTAGAAATGTTTTAAAAAGTATGCCCCCGGTGGTCAGTGCATGTCATAGCGACTGGTCAACCGGTTGTTTTGGGCGGTTGGTTATAATGGTCGCTTAGGCTTTTATATATATAGATATATGTATGGTGCCCCCCCCCAAAATATATACAGACTCTAGCAGCTGATAGCTCAATTTTGAAAATGAAATATATTCTAATAAACACTGCCTTTATAATTACTCAAAGTGTGTTTATACATTTTTTGGACACTATATATATATAACAAATAGACACAGACAACAGTGTGGTGATAGCCAGAGGGAAAGGGGGGAGGGGGAAGGTGGAAGTGGCCAAAGGGGGGGTAAATGGGGATGGAAAGAGACTTTGCTTTGGGAGATGGGCATACAATGCAGTGTGCTGACGATGTTTTGTTGAGTTTTACAGTTGAAATCTGTATGGTTTTGTGAACCAATGTCACCCCAGTAAACTCAGTTTAAAGAAAGAAAGAAAACTGAGACACAAATATTTTAAATAAGAATTTCAAGTGTAAGTCTTGGGCCCAGCATTCTGACCCCAGAAAGCTGGCTCTTTACCATTACGTCTGCCCGGCTGTTTTGTGACCAAATAGGCCGCAGAGGTCCTCAAACTTTTTAAACAGGGGGCCAGTTCACTGTCCCTCAGACATTCCACACATGCGCACTGCGGGCCTGGGACGAATTGGCCGCTAAGCAGGACAGGCAGCGGCGGCAAAAACACCTGGTGGGCCGGATAAATGTTTTCGGCGGGCCGCATGTGGCCCGCGGGCCGTAGTTTGAGGACCCCTGAAATAGGGTGTCAAAAAATCCCTTGAATGCTGAGGGTGACCCATAGTCTGCACCAGAGTGTTCATCAACCTTGGTCTCAATGGATTGAGTGCTTATAAGATCCTCTACATCAAACCTGGGCTTCAGGACACTGCTGGGTCTTCCCGATTCTAAAAAAGAATTCAGAGTACAGTTTCTTACACACATTTTGATCCCAGGCTCCGATCAGGACACGTGCAGGAGGCAACCAATTGAGGTGTCTCTTACCTCTCTCTCTCTCTCTCTCTCTCTCTCTCCCTGGCCCTCTCCCTCTCCCTCTTTCTCTGTTCCCCCACCTCCCTCCCTTTCACTCTCTCTAAAAAATCACTGGGAGGAAAACACAACACTTGGCAGAAGTTAAGGCATTAAACACAAGGACATTGTTGCTGATTTTAATCCAAACTGAGATTCTGGTGTGTGCTTGTGGCATCTGGGTCAGAAAGAGTGAAAGCCAGGTTCAGACTGACAGTGCTTTTCAAAGGGGGGAAAAATCATATTTCCCTAGCAAGAGGTCAGATGTCAAAAAAGCTAATAACAGAACAAGAAAGACCCAAGGATATAATCGACAAATGAAAAAAAACAACAACACAAAAAACTGGTCAGATGAGGGAACAAAAGATATACTATCAATAATATGCCTTTTTTTGTTATGTACTTATGCCCCAGGAATTATTGTGCAGCCCAGACTTGCGTCCTTAGGCTGAAAGCACCTTATCATTCACAAGCTTTAGTGATATATAATATATTTTCCCCCCAAGAGAGAGTTTTTTGTTTGTTTGTTTGTTTGTTTGCTTTTTAAAGAGATTTACAGTGATTTTTTTCCCTATAGGTTTTTCTTGATACATATATATTTTTAATTTCTCACCGTCTCAGGGGTAAATAAATATATTAAAATAAGCTACGGGATGTATAGCAGAGTATAACAATGATAAATGATGTTGTGTGTAATTTTTCTACTATTAACATAAAGTAATATAAACTGAAGGACACGAGTCTATTGAGAGACTTAGAAGCTAATGTTCCATATCAGATGTGGCCAATGTCAGGACTGAATACAGATTAGGCAGTGTCCTTTTCTCCCCAGGGGAATTAAAGTTTGAGACACCACTCGCTGCCAGTGGTTTTACGGCATTTTGTTGGGGCCGGTGGTGTCTTTCTTGGTCTATTAATTCAGGAGCCGTAAATGACAATGTGAGCAAAATGCTTTTCCGGCGGGATGCATTTCATTTATGTGAGCTTGTGCCACCCATACCTCCTCCATCCCTTTTGTCACCATAAGTGCTTTTAAATTGTGTAGATTACGTCCACTTCATTATGGTCCCTAGCATTTGTGTGTTAGTCAAGGCTATTATGTAGAGTTAGGAAATATTTAAAAACTCTATGTTTCTAAAGAAAAAGGGAGGCAGTGCAGAAAAGTTTTTGTCTCCTCTCTCGTGTTCTTTCTCAGCGGAGAGTTCATGGCCAGGGTACACTCTGCAAGGAGGAATGAAACCCCCATGGGAGATGCTTACAAAAATATATCTTTTTTTAATTTCGGGGTGTCCATCTGGGTTTGTAAACACACATTCAAATGTGACTACTAAGTTTTTAAGAACTCATTAACATTTAAGATTTTCTTTTAAAAGTGATTTTTCTCACCAGTGATATCGTCTGAAAGCTGGAGGTGTTTTATTTTTAAAAATCTCTTTGTGACATCTCATGTTAGAACTCAGGAATCCTATCCAAATCCTCCCTTATGTACAGGAGGAAAGCAAAGCCCAGAGAGGTGAAGTTCGTTCAAGGTCACTCAGCTCCCTGTGGCCCAACTGAATTCTGAACCCTCCTTTTTCTGGTACTTATTAGCTGTCCTTTCTGCTACCCCATTCCACCCCTTTGCTTTATGTCACCCCAAAAGACATTCTAAAGGACATATGGGAAAAGATAAAGGGGAAAGTGGATGAGTCCTTGAGAGAGCAAATCTAATTAGATACCTTTGGTTATGTTGACAGAAGCTGCCACAGTTACACCCTACATAAAAAATGAAAATACATATTTGTTGCAGCTCCAATTATGTACGTAACTTTAGAAAAATTTCTGTGTGAATGAGAACTTTTTCTTGAAATGAGTCCTGGCTGTTGGGCATAAGGAGGGACACCCCCTCATCTCTGGAATCCAGGACTGGGGTTCTGATTAACTCTTTTTCTCTCCCGCCCCATTAAAATGGGCAGAAGGGAACGAACACTTGGGTTTCGCCACACACATTGTTATCCTTCGGGTTGGCTCGAAGATGATACATTTGTCACGGTTCATAAATTTTATCTTTGCACTAAAAACAGGGTTAGAATATCTTCAATGCAATTATAAAAATGTATTAAAACTGAGAAGGAGAAAAAATATGGTGGTAGATGCGATTTTAATGATTGTGTAAATGTTCACTGTTCCGTAGCAAAAAAAAAAAAAAGTCAGGCTTTTCAGCCAAGGTATTTCAGAGGAATGCCAGGAAAGGGCTGGGTTGTCCATAAATGCACAGCATGAAGACAAATTTGTTGCTTGGAGTTTTTGCTTGGAAATGGGTGACCAGTTGGAGTGATGTGATGTCTGCAAGTTATGATTCTGTAGGAGCCTCTAGAGACTGGGGTGTGAAAATCACCCCAAAGAGGTGTTCTCTAAGCTTCATTCTTCTAAGAATTTGGAAAGCTGGGGAGTGGGGATAAGCTTGTGCGATCAGAATTACCCTCTGATATGCATTGCCTTGTCCTGAGTGATAGGATTTGTCATTTGCTTCCTTTGCTAAATAAATACTTTGCAACATCCACTGTGGCTAATGGGGAGCTAGCCACAGCAAAGATTCAACTGCAGACATTTAAGGGGTGCATGTGGGAGCTTGCTTACTTTTGGGTCACTTTTCAGAATGAGAGAATTGTTCAAAAATCCAAATGTTTAGTTGGCTTACATTGGTGCCTCTAGTCTGTATCAGGGTTGTTATAACTATAGCAAACTTCTCCAGAGATAACATTTTCTCCCCTGCACTCACTTGATTGATTTTCTTAGTCAAGAATAGTCTGATAGTTGAGGGCAGCGATTGTCAAATGTGCCAGAAGAATTTTTAAAACATGCAATACCTGACTATTTAGTCAGGGGCACTGACCTCTTTTCCCTTAGATTGTCAAATAAAGAAATGACAACAGCCAACACAACAATAGCCGTCTGGTATGAGTGAATCAAAATCATACCTATTTATATTTTGTCAGATCAGCCAAAAATATGTTTTTTGGTGTGCCGCAGAATTTTAGTAATTAGTTTATGTGTGCCGTGAGATGAAAAAGGTGGAAAATCACTGGTTTAGAACAATAGAAAATATTAAGCACCAGGCTCTCTTAGGGAAGTTTTATAAAATACAAAACTCTTAAGCATAAATATCACCCCAAGTAATAGTTTATTTCTTCCATGCTACAGTTGTCTGGGCAGTTGTAAAGGTAATTCTTATTTTTTTAGAAATGCTTAGCATTTTAACTTCCTGTGAGGATATTTGTGCCCCTAGTATTTGAATGTAGTTGATAAATTCATAAGGAATCTGGACCTTTTCAGGGGAATTCTTGAACTCTCATCTCCACTAACAATGCCTCGCCTGTACTTTGTTCTGAACAAAGTTACCAGCAGAGTTTTAAAGCTGGTGGTGAGTTTTGGAGACAGACCTATTTCGAGCACATACACACAACTTTATTGTCCCTCTCCGTAGTGTGTGAATCAATTACATTTCACTTTCAGACAAAGGGACATTTCAATTTTCCCTTAAAAGATTAAAGTTGTGTAGGATTTACAATCTAAACAGGGTTTTGCTATTTTATAGGTTTTTGAAGTCAGATTTCCCTGATCTGAAATGCACACTGGTTTTGTGATTTGGGGTAAATCACTTAACCTCTGTCAACCTTTTATCAGCAAAATGGGATAAAAATAGTACCTGACTTGCAGGTTAAATGAGAATTTAATGAGATAATGGGTGTAAATGGCCTATCACAGAGTTTGGCAGAGTAATGGCTTCTGCTATGGAGGCCTCTTCTTACTATTACTGTTATTAGCATTATTGTCATGTGAAAATGAGGATGTGTGTGTAATTCTCACTCTTAGATCAGACACACTCTTTAAATATACAGATATATATTAAACACAAAGAGCAACATTTGGTGGTTTTGCTTTGTATTTTGTTGTTGTTGTTTGGCTGTTTATTGAATGCATATAGCACATTCTTAATACAGACCCTGTGTGAGCCATTTAATGCATGTTTAATTTTCCCAGCAATGCTGTGGGACATAGAAAGGGGCATGACTATCAATAGAACTGAATGAATAACTTGAACAAGGTGTATGCTGGGAAAACAAGTTTATTTAAACAAATAGGAAGTTAGTGGTTTGTGGAAGGCTTTAGAATCCACTATATTAATCTGGAATTTTCTGTGCCACTAGAGTCTAAATTAATGGTGGAGATCAGACATTTCCCCTTGAACCTAGTTCATAACGTTCTTAGCATGTACTTAAGAAATCTTTGTGAATGTAGCCAGTGACTGAATCAATGAACAAATGATTGAAGAAATGAATGAGTGGCAAAAAAGATGTGTTGAATTTCATTATGAGGCCTGCCATGAAATTCCTGGTGCTTGGCACTGTGGCTGACAGTTAGTAGGTTCTTCATAAAAAATATATTAGAATCGATTGTAATTTAATATCAATTGTATAAAAATTTATCTTAGAGAATCCAACAGTCTTAATTTATTCCACTCACAGGACATGTGGACACTTAGCACAAACCACACAGATTCCTCCTAAAATAAAAACATGTGGCTGTGCAAAAGTTTCTTTCCCCCTCACACCACCACCTTGCTCAAGTCCATTATTTTAGTGGTTTGCCGTGCATTTCTTTTGGCCAAAGAATCTGTTGTCAAATTGATCTCTACTCCCAAGTGTAGAATTTGTCAGGTTCATGCAGAATCCTGTCTTATATGGAGATTCTGCATTTATGCAGAAGAGTATTGTGTGGTTTTAAAGGGTATTCTTGGAAGTAAAATCACAAGGGATCTGTAGGAAATGGGTGTGATGGAGAAATTTAAACAGAATTGAACAAATAAAAGTTGGAGCTCAAAAATTGATTGTTGCCCCATTTTGCCTAAATCACCATCAGCAGGTTAAGCCAGGTGTGTGCAGGTGGTCAGGTGTGGAATTTGAAGGACCTTAAGGAACAAAAGAGTACTCCTTTTCAGATCCTTGGAGGGCCCAAGGGTAGAAAGGAGTGATAGCATCATCATGAGGTGGAAACTGTTCTTTCTTACCAGGGACTTCTTTCTCCTTCACTCCGCAACCAGGCTGACCCTGCCACAGTGGCGGTTAATGGCAGATAGGTCTGATGGCGTGTGCCCTGGTGTCACCATTTTTTAATAAGAGCTGGGGCGCCTCTTGAAGAGCCCAGGAACCTCAGTCGCTCCTCTGCTCCTTCCCCCGACAACTCGCCCTCGCTAATAAATTCTCAGGGCTGACATTGCCTGAGCCGGCTGGTCTTTGCCCTCAATTTCATTGAGATGGGCCATTGAAAACTCATTACAAGCTGTTTAGACTCTGACTTTGACTTTTGCTCAGCAGTGAGCAAAATTAACAGCTCTTGGAGGTAGCAAAAAAAAAAAAAAAAAAGGCACCCAGCCAAAAAAAAAAAAAAAAGGAATTGAAATGATGAGAAAAGACTTTTAATATTATCACCATTAGTCATGCAAACAAGCGCACATCGGAAGCACATATGTTCTGCATGTGGCTTGCATTTGGTGTCTGGTGTAGCTCGTGGTTCCCCCACTGGAGAGAAATTGTTACCTAGGCATTACACGCAGCTCCAAATTTTTTACATGTCAAGCAATGAGCCTTTGACTGTAGCAGAATTGCTTCATAAATTTAACTATCACTTTTGAATTTCTGTGTTTTTTCTAATTTAGTGCTTGATAGTTTTTTATGTGATAATTTTTAAATGCTGTTTATAGCAAAAGTTACCTTGATAGTACAGGTGTGCACAGAAGATTCACAGCCATAAATAAAAAAAGGAAAAAAAATCCTGTTTATACCTTAGGCATTTTGTAATTCTAAGGATGTAACCTGTCAGTGTTACAGGTTTTTAAAGTTACCCAATTAATATAAATTTCTTCATAAGTAACAGCTCCTGAAAGATTGAAATATCACTCCCAATATTTTTGGATGGTTTCCATCTGTATTTGGGAAGCTCATGCAAAAATGTCTCTTTCCCTTGATATTTGCAATACATCTTAAAAATAAAAATGTCTGTGTATATGGTCATATATATGAAGTTAAGAATATTACTATCAAAATATCAAAATTAAAGAAGTAGACTGTAAACTTTTTAAGCTAGGCAAAGCAGTCTTAACCCAGAAAGGAAAAATGTATTTGAGAGGGATCTAATTAGTTCACCAGCACCTCTGGGCTGTCAAGCACAGGCGACACAGACAAGAGCCACCTTGAGGATGTATTGAAAATGGTGAGCTCCACGTCTCATTCTAGGTTATTATTGCTAAGCCATAACCTCTCATTTTGGTGAATGTGTGAGTGTCAGAAGTCACTGCCAACCTTATTTAATTGTTTGTATGGCTGTACCTCTATGAGGTTATCTAGTTTTTCTTTCAATTCCTCTAAAAACTGCCAGGGACAATGCCAGGATCTGTGAATAAAGACATGAGTAAGATGTTCTTCTGCCTTGTTGGGTTCCCTATCTAGCATTCCAGCAACATTTTTCCCATCTTCTAAACATTGTGGAATAAACCCAGTACCACCTTGTACCCCAGGAGACAGAATTGGAAGATCCACTTAAGCCAAGTAGTCTTTCAGAACCAAACAAGTAAATTAGTTCAAAGCCATTTGAAGCTATCGATAGATGTTAGTAGTCAAAGCAATAAACATAATCCCATAAATCTACACTTTGTGGTGTATTCATTTAGCATTCTGTTTTCTTTTCCATCGAATGCTTCATTTAATTCCCTGATGTAATAAGCCTTCCAAATTCTAATTGTTTCTCTATAGCCAAAGCCTTTACCTTTTTCCTGTCAAGATTTCTTACACGGGAAGCCATCCTCTAGCCGTCAGATGTCTTTGCTGGGGGAATTACAGCATTGGCCTAGTCTGTAGAGTTTCATTAAAGTTTGGTCATATTTCAATAACTATTGCTGTATTACAAACCACCCCAAAATGTAGTGGCTTCAAATGACAACATGTGTGTTGTTCTTGAACCTGTGGTTTTAGTGGGGCTTCGCAGGAATAGTTTGTCTCTGCTCCAGTCAGCATCAGCTGAGCTCTGGGATCATCAGAATGTTGTTCACTCGTGAGCCTTGGCTGGAACACCTACATATTGTTTCCATGTTTCTTGGTCTTCCTTACAATATGGCGGCAGGGTACCAAGAGTGAGTGTGTGGAGAGAGAGCCAAGCAGGCTCTGTATTGCCTTTTATGGCCTAGCCACGGAAGTCATGGAGCATTGGGTTTTCTGCATTCTATTTGTCCAGGCAGCCATGGAGGCCTGTCCAGGTTTACAGAGAGAGGTAGTAGACTCTCCTCTTTTTTTCAAAATACATATTTTTAATATATTTTTATTTTTTTCAGAGAGGAAGGGAGATGGAAAAGGAGATAGAAACATCAATAATGAGAGAGAATCATTGATCGGCTGCCTCCTGCACACCCCACACTGGGGATCGAGCCCACCACCCTGACCTCCTGGTTCATAGGTGGATGCTCATAGGTCAACACTCAACCACTGAGCCATGCTGGCCAGGCTAGACTCTCCCTCTTGATGGGGCTATAGGAGGATTCTGCAAGGGAATGTGAGACTAGAAATATCACCATGGCCACTTTTGAAAAATACAGTCTGCCACAGATCATAAGCAAAAGGTTAATATTCTGAAGTGTTGTATTAGTGGGGGAGAAAAGCATTATTTGGGAGTCAGAAAACCTGGTTTGTTCATCCAACCTCTGCCCATTGCTAACTGCTTGAATGTCCCTCAGTGTACGTATCTATAAAATGGGGGACACCGATGCTGACCCCTGTGTTTATACTGAGGACTGTGCAAATAAAATGTGTTATATGTGCAAGTGTCCACCGAGTGCCTGGTGCAGCCTGACGCTCCATAAATCTTCAGTGAGTTGGTTTACTGAATAGGAATCTGCACTTTATTGCCATTATTTAGGTTTATTGTGTCCTAATCTATGTCACTGAGTACATCCTTGCTGTTTTTCATGAATTTTCCACGAATCACAACATGCTGCTAGGCAAGGAAGGTCAGGGAGGAAACAGATTAACAAGATCTTATACCACAAAGTCAAAATACTTACAAGTGTTTACAGAGCCTGGTGACACCCAGTGAATTTAAAGCGAGAAGACTGGAGCAGAAGTAAACCTATTCTTGTTCTTCTGCACTTGAGCAAGGGCCTTGATGTTTTATGATTGTGTTAAGGTCCATTAATCCTTGAATCATGAGGCCATGGGAAAAAAATGACAGCTTTAACATCCAGGGCTTGGGTTTACTTTAAATGTTTTTGCTTCTAGACTTTTTCTAGTTAATAAGAGTGGCTAAAACCTGGTTCAAAAGCAGGGTGCTGAGGGATAAAACAACTCAGTTTCGCCTCGGAGCATTTATGCTTTCTAGAAAAAAATAGTTTCTTAGATTGAAGGGTCCCAGCCTTTAACTGATCTCCAGAAAGGAGACTACTCACTGTGATATAACCAGGGTCTCTGCACACAGGCCTGAGCCAACTGAGAGCTGTGTTGTTTTCTAGGGGCAGCCACTAGTTACATGTAGTTATTTAAACTTAAGTGGATTAAATTTACGTAAAAATTTTAAAAGTCACTTCTTCAGCTTCAATGGCCACATCTCAGGTGCTCGGTAGCTGCACGTGGCTACCATAGTGGACATCCCTTTACCCCATTTTCAGAATCTTCTAGGGCCTGGGCCCAACTGACTGAAGCTCCCTACAGCATCCCTCCCTGCTTTTTTAGCACCCACAGAATTCAGCCTCAGATCATGTTATCTGCCAGTGAAGACCTCCTGTCCTCCTTAAGAGCAATGATTCAGCCCTGTGCACTGGACTCAGGACTTATTACAAGGTTTCTTCAAATCCATACATGCTGCAAGTATGGTATTCTAGATGGATAAAGTAATAAATCTTGCATGTGTGTGCAAATAGTTTTCAGTTGTGGGAAAAGGCTATTGTGATGTGTAAAACAGAAATTCATTTTTAAAGTATTACTGAATTCACAGTAACACTTGACCATTATGTATTTACTCAAAATTAATGGCTACTAAGAGTGTGGGTGTCTGAATTTCTGATGTCGGAAAAGGTGTTGTCATACTAGAGAAGTGCGAACCACCAGGGGAAGGAGGCTGAAGTCCATTCATGGAGGTGGGGGTGGAGCTTTCCTCAGCAGCGCCTCATTAATGTAAACATAAGCTCCAGCAGAAAGATTAGCCATCTCCTCTGACTTCCTCCACGGAGCCACGCATTTATTCCAGGTGTTCCTCACACCAGATCTAAGAGGCCAATATTAATATCTCTACTTCAAATATGGGTAAACTGAGGCTCAAAGGGTCTAATTTTCTCAGTGCCCTTGTGTGTGGCCTGATCAGCAGCCTAAACTGCGCCTCCACGTCCACCCATCTCCCTTCACGATAGCTACTCATTTGAACAGACACAATGTAATTGTGTGGCTTGGTGGAGCAGACCAAGTCCGTTAGGCCATTAGCCAATGCCACCATTAGGGGGAAATGTCATGCACTTGATCTAAATGTACTTAGGAGAACTCTCAGGACCTGATGAATTATTACGGGGAGTTTTATGGCCCCACAGGTAGCATGCTTCGTACCAACTATATAGCTAATGAGCTACAGCCGCCACAAAGCTCTGAGCATACATGGTGTCCATACATGGAGAGAGCACCTCCTTTCCCTTCCGCCTGCTCCCTCCTCACAGGCAGCCTCAAACCAGGTGAGAAATATACAAATGCTTCTCCTACATGGTTTGTTTCAGCCCATGTGCCCTATTACTTGAGATGAATGTCTGAGCAGAACGTTTTAAGGAATTTGGTATTTGGGGGGGGGGGAAGGGAATAGGGGGGAAAAAACAAGCAAAGTGACAAAGCAGATATAAAAAAAAATCCACCGTGGTATTCTGGGAAGGAAAAACCATTTTTTTTTAAATGAAAGTGTTTTTATCATATTAGATATGACTTGCTTCCCCAGCAGGTACAAATGAGATAAAAAAAAAATCTATTCTTCATTTTCAGGTTAATAACTGAAGCCCATGCCTCCACCCCAGCTCCTCTGGTGCCCCTGCCACTATCCCTGCCCACCTCCCATTGCCCCAAATAGGCAGAAGGCTGGTTATTTATCTGTTTTGGTGCCTCCTTTTCTTTCCCTCTTCCCATCAGCTTTTCAATAACCCCAGAGATTTAATCCAGTAGGAAAGGGCTAGTCCTAGTTCCAGTGCCATCTAGGAAGAGAGCAAATGGGTCTCCTAGCAAGCTGGCTGGGCTTCATTGCCCCTCAGGTATGATGGCAGTTTCTTCAAATGGAGCTGGGAAAGGAAGAGGGAAGGGGAGGATGGCGTGCTCTGTGCATGCAAGTGCTCGCAAGGGAGCCCGTGCGAGCTCTTCAGTTGCTGTTCCCAGTGGGTGGCTCCATGGAGTCTGCGCTCAAACTTGCCCTCCTTCCTCTGGGGGAGCAGTCCACACTCACCCCTCAAGGCATGTTCTCCCTCGGGGACCCTTGGTATCTTATTTTTCTAGCAAGTATCATAGCACCAGAGAAGCATTGAGAGCATGGGCCCTGCCCTGGCCGGGTGCTCAGTGGTTAGAGCTATGGTTCGGGTTCGATTTCCAGTCAGGGCACATACAGGAAGCAGCCAGTGAATGCATAAATAAGTGGAGCAACAAGGCGATGTTTCTCTTCTCTCTCTCTCTCTCTCTCTCTCTCTCTCTCTCTCTCTCTCTCTCCTTCCCTCCCTCCCTCTCATTCCCTCCGTTCCTCACACAGTTTTATTAGAAAGTCCTTTGATACTCTCCTTCAAAGCTGTGGGTGTCCTCTGCCCTGTGCAACAAAACTGCCGAAATACTCAAGAAATATCTATCAGAACATAGCTTTATTTCCAGCCGATTCACAGTTTCCACCTAGGTCTGTTAAATAGCAGCTCACCTAAGAAATATCAGGCTCTGCCCAGTCGTGTACCTGACTACATACTAGCTAATAGGTTTATGTGCACATCACGGCCACAGGTGTGTTCCACATTTGAGAATGGCAACACATGACAAGGCCTCAAACATAAATGTTCGTATAGAAAACATCCCTAAGCAGTGTGCGTCTCCCGTACCACTTGGGACTCTTGGAGGCATATTTATTAGCAAATGGAATTAACAGTCAACGACTGATTAAAGCATCTTTCACTACCCCCACGACTGCCTTGACAAATTCTGCAGCCTCGGAGAATGTTACCTCCAGCTGTTCCTTCCGAGTGACCCTTGCCTGCTCAACACAACATTGACTTCTAATTGTTAAGCCTGCTAATCCCGACTGAAGTGGGCCATCATTTCAAGTGTGGAAGAAGGAGGGAATCTAAACTAGATTTGCTGTCCTCTGAAGAAATAACTATATCAAGACTTTCTCCTCGGAGACAAATCATCTTATGCCAGAGGGGGAAAAACTCCATAGAAAAAGACGAATGACAGCACAAGATGTAAAAAGACAAGTGCTCCGTCATTTTGTCATAAAGCCGGAAGAGACGGCGATGTAGCCTGGGCTCTGCGTTCCGACGCTCAGAATACATCACAGGCAGCACACAGGCTCTGATGCCGGAAGTCTGTTTGGTGAACCTAGGATACACCGAGGGGCTTTCCTGATTGTCAGTAGCTTGTTCTGTGTTTCAGGGGTGGACAGAGAAAGGGACAGGCAAGCAGTGCTGGTGTGAAGACTTGGCTTATGAACAACTGATTAAAAAGTCTGTCACAGTCTGGGAAGATTAGTGTTCTGTGACATGCTGAGACAACATGCCTGTGTGTACTCTCATGCTCACAAATGTACACATGCAGGTATATATATATATATTTTTTTTTCAGGTATATATTTTTAAAGAATTCTGAAATTGCCTACTAACTCAGGATCCTCTATCCTCTCTTGATTCATAGCCTGCCTGGGTGGGATGTTCCACTTTGGGGAATTATATTCGCTGGTACATTCATGTCACGAGAATGCTATTTAGAAACTGTCATTGTGTATGTTCACTGCGTTTGCTACCATTTCTTCTTTCCCTTCCCTCCCTCCCTTTCCTTTTTATTTTCTTTTACATTTATGCTAAATTCTATTGTTCCCATCATGCTGTAAAGAATAGTGAGATACTTGTTTTTCTTTGTTGTTGTCGTTGCAATTTGCATGTGTATCTTTTCCCCCATAATTCCTTGATACTTAGTTTTTTCAGAAAAAAATTAATCAGCTGCTCAAATTTACCTTTAATATTGCTTCTGATGTTTGCTATTTTGCGGCCATATCACCATCCATCTCATAACGATATTTCAGGTCCTAAATAACTCTTCATGTCATGTTTTCCATTGGTTTTCTTTCTGGCCTCCTAACCTGGATAGTTATAGCCCTTTAAATAACAACACTCAGGCTTTTAAATCCCAGAATCAGCCTCCACGCCTTCCCTAATACGTTTCAAGTGTTAGATTAGTAACAATTTTATAAGGAAACCAGAGGAGTGTGATACTTGAGCTGAGTTTTGCCACAGTTCAGGATAATCTAGTCTAATTTCCGGGAAAACACATTTGCCCTGGTTAAAAGAGATATAATTATGCCCATATTACTCTGTGGTACTTGGCTTTGCTTGATGCCTGTGTGGGTAGGGATGGGGTGGGGGTCCTGCAGTGTGAGCATGTATGTCTGTTGTAATCCCAAAGTCTTACCAACAACCACAGGCCTCCTTTGAGATCAATCATATTTATTTGGTGTTTGTTTTCTACTCCCTGGTACTTGTTGCTTTCTCTTTGTCGCTGTTAATTTTGTTTGTCATATGTCAGACCAGGGTGAGTGAGGCACATTCGGACTCGGCTCATTTTTTTTTTCCTTCCTTCCTTAGTCACCACCTTTGCTAATTTCAGGCGGTCAGCACATTTGGCGAGTGTGTAGCTGCCTGCTGGAGCAAGCCATTAATCTATATTAGGGAAGAAAGAGCCCCAGCCCTCACCTTCCTGAGCGGCCCCCACCCCAGGCTGCAGGTTATGTTACTCCTCCCTTGGTGAGGAACCTGTTGTTTCTTTTATCAGTTTTTCTTTTCTCTTCCTGCTCTAATATCTGTACTTGACCACACCGCCCTGGCACACTGGCCGAGCCTTCTGTGCCCAA